AGATGAAGAAACAGTTCCAGAAAATTCCAGTCATTCTTTCTAAAGCAAGTTATAGTTTTGCAAGTTATCCCTAGAGTGAATAGTGAGGTACTTTTAGAAGTGTGAAGTTAAAGCATACAAGTACCATCCAAAGGATCAGATGAAATATGTCAGTCTTCTTAAAAAGACAGAATATTTTCTTGGGCCAAAGAAGATTGATTGTACACTAACTAATGGCATTGACATAGCTAAAGAAATCAAAGCTTTAGTAAAAAGAGAATGACCAGTGTAGAAAGGAAAAAATTTAGAAGAAAGAGAGTGATGGATTGGTGTGGAAAGAGGCAGAATTCCCCAGTGGTCATGCAGCAGTGTCTAGAGAAGGGCTACCTTGATAAGAAAGCCATGGATGGTGATATTCCTCATATCTGACCAGCATTGCCAGATATAAGTGCTTTATGTTCAGATTAACCAGTTATTCCCTTGAGCTGATTCCAACACCACCGAGCAACCCTCTGTGGTTATAATTTTTCTTCTCAACATTAACATAGTACTTGACCCAGAAGATGTTACTGTCCAGTCTTTGGAATTGTTATATCTGTCCCTTTGAAGTCACTAAAATTCACTCTATGGTTTACATATCAAAACTAATTAGTTTTGCCAAATATTAACAGAATAATTTCTAATTAGTAGGAGAGAGTATAACAAAATTAGCTAGGAATACTTTCAGGCTACACAACTTTTCGTTGTGTCTTTATCTGACTCTTGTTTTATGAACTTGCTTTGAAATTGCCTTATTGCTGAGTTCCAGACTTTATAGTAACATAATTCATTGATTTATAGATTAAGAGATGAGGTTTTCAATAGGTTAATAGCCTAGAGAAAGAGGCTACTGATTTATTAGAAACACTAATAGGTTAGTTGCTGTACTTTTTCCCTTTCCCCTATGACAATGAAGAGAAATAATTGAGAATACTGCAGTGTACTTCTACTTTTTTCCATGATTACTGTTAGATGAAAGGTCCTATGCCAGATGCCGGGAAATAGGTGAAAACATGTGGCCCTTCCTATTTAGGAACTTACTCATGGGAGGAAGTGATCAAGGAATCTCTCTACTCTTTGGAAAGTGGGAAAAGACCTAAAGATAGGTTAAGTGCATTTAATAAATGGAAGTTTGCTAGAAAAAAAAGATTTAGGAAGGATGTTTGAAAGGAGGAAAACAGCAGTGCAAAGACACAAAGAAGTGATGAGTTTCAAAAATGTCAGAAGTGAATTGGGAAAACTAATGGTAGGTGTGGCCAGAGAGAAAAATTGAGGCCAGATCGTGAAGTGGCTGAGGGATTTGTACTTCATCCTGTAGACAGGACATCTTGGGTATCTGGGGAGGGTTTTGAAGCAGAATTACATGAAAAGGTTTATGTTTGAAGAAGCTGACTGCTGGCTGTGCGAAGGATGGGCTGGAGAAGGGAGAAATTCAAGGCGGCCAGACGTTAGGGAGTTTATTGTAGTACTGCAGCAAATACAGTGAAGACTTGCGCTGAGACAGTGGAACAGAAGGAGATCCAAGAGATATTTGAAAATAGAATTTGTTGCTGATTTAGTACACAGGCAGTAAACTTCACAAGGCAGAAGTTTTCTGTCCTGTTTACTGAATTCCCTGGGACATGAAGTCGTTGTCTAAATGAGTGAAGGAATTAACGGACAAGAATGAACAAATGAATTAATATATGAATGAAACCAGCCTCTTCTTTGGCCTGTAACTACCCTGAAATGATCTGATTATAGGAGGCTTGTCAGGCAAATTTAAGATTTAAAATGTGAGTCCTTTGAAAGCAGGGAATAATACATCTGTTTTTCTCATCACTGTTCTCAGCTCAGCTTGGCATATAATAGGCACCCTTTTTTTTTGGTACCAGGGATTGAACGCAGGACCTTGCACTTGTGAGGCAGGCGTGGTGCCACTGAGCTAAATCCCTGGCCCAGCCCCCATTAAATATTCGCTAAATTAATGAATAATTTTTTGCTCAATGTTTGTTTATACATTTTAGTTTTGCAGAATTATCCTTAGGTGTTGCTAAGAAACTATTTTCTTATATGGAAGATTCAGAAGGGAGATTCTTAAAAATCATTGTAAAATAGTACATTATTCTTTTCAGGCTAGTGATCTAATTTTTTAATGGATATGTTAAAATTTAGAGTTGCTTATTTAAATGCATATTAAAAGTAAGAAATGATGGTCTCATAATACCTGCAAAAGAAGTAATTTAATTGGATTCAAAGAATATTTGTTATATGATTGAAAGACTATACCTGACATACTTCATTAATCTTTCTTGCTATATATATATGCTGGTCATATCAGCAGTTTCTCAAAATATTTCAAAAAGATTTTCAGATTTCAGACTTCTTTTTTTTTTTGGTACCAGGGATAGAACTCGGGACCTTGCGCTTGTGAGGCAGGCAGAGGCGGTGCTACTGAGCTAAATCCCCAGCCTGTCCTTTTTTTTTGGTACTGGGGATTGAACTCGGGACCTTGTGCTTGCGAAGCAGGCACCGGAACCACTGAGCTACCCCAGCCCTACCTGGCCTGTCTTTAAAAAGATTTTTAAAATAAGATTGAGTGAATCACCTGCATTCATTTCATTTGGCCTATTTCATTTCTGTGCCCCACCCTAGACCTGCTAAATCAAATTTATGTACTCCACATACTTCCTAGGTGATTATTTGTTTGCTAAAGTTTGAGAATCATAATTTTAATCAGGCGGCTTGTACCACTGATGATACAAATGACTCTAATCACTTCTATCAGTCTTTTTACTAATAAAATTAATAGCCACCTGGCAGACAGTCATGCATGTACCACCAGTGGTTCAAGCCTCCTGGCAGCGAGACCTGAATTACGGCCCCATCATGACTGTGTTAAAACATAGCAAAACATCTGATTTTAACTAAATGAAAGAAACTCTAAAGTCACCGCATCTTTCATCTTTTCCCACCATCTATCCAGTTGAGTTCTGTTTCAGATCTAGCCACTTCACTCACTGCTACTGCTCTAGCTTTGATTTGGCACATAATAAAACTAAAACTTGTTAGTCTCTCTGATACAAAATGCCTTTTATGGTCTAGTTCTTAGGTACATATTTTTATCCCTTTTTCCTTTAGGTTGTCCTGCAGCCATTTAAAACTTTCCTGTTTCCTAAATATTCTGTGATCGTACAAATAATATTTACTCTGCCTAAAAGACTTCTCCCTATAATTTTTTTCTGACCATTTTCCCCCAGTGGAATTACATTTATGTTTGAAGCTCAAACTTTACTTCTTTTTTAAAGTCTTAAATTCCCTAGGATTATGTAGTCCCATTGTTTGTCTCCTGATAACATTTTGTTCTGACCTCTAGTGCATTTATTGAGTTGCAATTACCTGTTTTTGGGGATCATCTTTGTATTTCTCTGTTTTAGACTTGACTTCCCATAGGTGCTCAATAATTGATTTTTCAGTGAGTAAATGAATTAATCATCAAAGTAAGGACATCTATTAATTTGCCATATTTGTTTTCTTTATTTCATGTTTTCTAAATTTAGTTTATGGATATCCTATTTCCATACAAATACAATGAGTTTTACCTTTTTTTTTGAAATAGATTCTGACATCAAAGTACTTGAAGATCAGTTTGATGAAGTCATAGTAGATATAGCGACAAAATGTAAGCAATATCTCAGAAAGATCCTTGAATGTGTTATCAAAACCCTAAAAGCACAACATGAAATTCTGGTAAGATGACTTAACTTTAAGTTTTTGTGTATATTTTACCACAGTAAAGATGTTAAAATTTAAGAGCCATATGGAGATAGATGACATTTTGTTGTCTTTATCTTTTCTGTTTAATTAGTACTGTATTTTGTAAGACCTTTTCCTGTTCTAAGTCATGCAAAGACTTGAACACAGCTGATATTAAAATTGGAGATGGGAGACTGACAGTGACTTATAAGATTCTGAGACCAGGAAGGGAAAGGAAATTCATCTTTCTTTTTTGCTGCTGAGGATTGAACCTATGGCCTACATCCCCAGCCCCAAGAAAATTTATCTTTTAACCATTTTCTGTTTCATTATTTTGGCACATTATTTGTATATGTTTGTGTATTTCGGAAGACTTTAAGTAGATGGAGAAAATTGTTTGAATGCTTGTTCATAACACTGAAACTTGCTCTAGGAATTGTATGTAATTTGTTTTGCTTTAAAAATCAGAACCTTGGGCTAGGACTTAGCTCAGTGGTTCCTGTGTCTGCCTCA